AATTAATAGTTTACCTTAGAGGTGCAACAATTTGTTGCTATTAAAATAACATTAATTGTTCTCTGAATATATTAAACATGTATTAGAAAGCACACTTGTAGCCATCTTCATATTTAATTAAATTTGTGTATTTATTGTTTTAGGTGTGTGAGATCATCTTGATTCATTCACAAAGCATCTGATCAGAGCTACACTGCTGTAGACAGACAGGTTCCTGCAGGACAGTTCTCTGAAGCAGCACTGAAGACCATGGAGGCTCACCCAATGCTGAACAGGACCAAGAAGTCTGATCTAGTTCAGGAGCTGCAGTGGTGCATTGGCTCTGTACCAGCTCTTCGTGGAGAACAATCTGCAGGACACCTTCAGAGGCTACGTTCACACTGCAGGTCTTAATGCTCAGTTCCAATTTTTTGAAAAAATACGATCTTTTTGTGTGAACGTTCACATTACATTTTAAATGTGACCTGCTTCTGACCATGTGACCCTGTGTGAACGCTACACAGCACTGATGTGACAGGCATGCACAGTAAAAGACGTGACGTCTCATCAGCCGGCTTGTTTGTTTACAGAGCTAGCATGGATGCTACATTTTGCACATTGAATCGGAAGTTGTTTAATCAGAGCCGATTAAATAATTATCTGACATGCTTCTTTAGTTCAGTGTTTATATCTGAACCTGCCTCTGACCGGGATGCTCCAGTGAAGCTTTTTTTTTTGAACGAAACTACGAGTTGGAAAAATGTATCGACTGAGTATCTAACTTTAGGATCGATACTCTCCGCGACCCAGGCTGGACTTCGTTATTATCATACTAATGAAAATGAAAAAGATGAAGCAACTGGACTTGTGTTTTGGAGCTGTAAACACATGGAGCTACAGATTTAAACAGCGAGATTTGAGGTTAGTGTCTTATCGATCCTTTACCCCCTCCTCCTGATGAAAAAGTCAGATGAAATGTGACATGAGCGTTCACACTGCAGTCACTTTGAAAAAAACATCAGATATATATTCGATTTAAAACCACATACTGAAACGGCCTGGGTCAGATTTGAAAAAATCGGATTTGTCTCGTTCAGACTGTCATAAAAAAATCGGATTTGTCTCGTTCAGACTGTCATAAAAAAATCGGATATGCCTGCAGTGTGAACGTAGCCAGAGACTGAAAATTCTCATCACATGTCCTCTGACCACAGCTGAACCTGAGAGGAGCTTCTCGACACTGAAGAGAATCCAGACTTTCCTCAGGTACAACATCACATCTCACTGCGCTGACCATGCTCTATAGAGAAGAATTTGGTTAAAACATCCCTGAATTTAACCAGAGTCGTGAAGAAATTTGCTTCTCATTTAAGAAGAGCAAAATTTATGTACAAAAAAAGCTCTACATGACATTGTAATGCTGTTTATTATTTTAATGTGTTCAATAAATACACTGTCGTGATACAACTTAGTATATGTTAGATTTTTTTTTAGAGATGAGCCCATTTTGGAGTTGTAACACCCCCTGGAGAAAAATCCACCAGCCGCCACTGGGAGAGGCTGGCTCTCAGGCAGAGGGAGGGACGGGCTCAGGGAGCATGGAGCTTCATTTACTCTGCTACACACACACACACACACACACACACACACACACACACACACACACATCTGCACTAAAACAGATTGACGGTGGCAGGAATCATCAGTCATTACTATTGATCACAGTCAGCAGCCAGCACCAGTCCAGCCTCCTTCCCTCTGCGACACACACACACACACACACACACACACACACACACACACACACACACAC